TAAGCTAAAAAATAATTACTCAAGTAAAATACAGATAGCCAAAATTTCTACTTAAGTACAGTAACAAAGTATTTGTACTTAGTTACTTTACAACTCTGCGCAATAAAGATAAATTAATAAAACATCTGTTTTTGGTTCCCTTTGGCTGATTATAAATTATTACATCTTCTGATTTATTTTCTGCAAATGTTCTAAGAGCTGCAGGCTGTTTGGGAGGAGTTCAAAATGCAAGTTACAGATATAGTGATATAAACAGTTCTGTCTGACTGGAGCAGGCAGCTGGTCAGTTTTTTTGTCTGCTTGTCTGGTTTCCATCAGGGGACAAAGCAGAGGGGACATGGCCCACCACTGAGAGGGCTGGAGGCCACCGGGGCCAAGAGGCTCGCTTTCAACTCCCCYAAACGTCTCAGATTCCACACATGCCTTATCATTGTGCTCCTCTGTTTACTGGAATTTGTGCGTCCTGGCCTGATGCGATGATGTCATCCTGTGTCCATAATGGGCACATCTTTTCTGTGAGAGAGGGTCTGACTCCTGCGGTCTCCTGTTGGCTCTGGGGTCACTTAGTTAGGTGGACACAAAGGACGCCAAACGCTGGGGTCAAAAGTGGTTTCAGATGCGGAGGTGATGCTGCAGTGTTCCTTTTAGTCCGTGTGGAGGTGGAAGATGAATGGAGCTGTTGATCCCTGAAGATTTTTCCATCACGGTGCTTGAGTTGGAGAGGACAAGCGTTAGTTCTAACTGAGAGAACACAAGTTTAACGTTTTTTTTTTTTTTTGGTCCTACAGCTTCATGCAGACCCTGCAGTGACACAGAGCTGCTCATGGCCYTCTGCAGCAGTGACTTTGGTGGGTAAAAGTCCACATTCTATTTCTCACGATGCAACAGTTGTGATGCAGATCTGCTGGGTTTCTTTCAGTGGTTCGAGGCCTCATCATGAACATCTCCCATGATTCTGCACGTCAGACKTCGGTGGTGGGGGTGTCAGCGGCCAGGGTTTACCGACAGCGCAGRGGAGTGTTTCACCAACATTCATCTGTGTGGCCTCCGTCCTGGCGTGGACACATCCGCACCCTCCTGCGGTGCCACGTAAAGCCTGGACGCGGAGCGTTTCTCTTTACGGGGTCCGAYCACTTTGGGGAGGCTTGGTTAGGGTGCGCTCCTCGTTACAAAGACTTCCTGTCTATCTATCAGAAGGCCCGGAGAGAAGGAAGAAATTCRTGTGACTTCCCTCTAGACGGATGATGTTGTTTCAGCCCATAACTCTAATGGCTCTGTGGGAACCATGTAAGGCTGTCACGAGCCAAGAAAGTGGCATCCAGTGTCAGCAGCAGGGGCAGGGCTGCTGAAATGTTGGAGAACAACAGATTTCTTTGGTGCAGAACAGAAGCAAGCAGCAGGGAAGTCCTGCTCCGAGGCTCTGAGAGGGTCAGACCAGAGCCCGGATACYCAAATGCTAATCTAGGGGGGCAATTTTTTTTAAATAACTTTTCATCAGAGTATAATTTATTTAGTCTGCAGAATAATCACTGTTGCTCATGTTTATGTAGGTAACTTGTTCTGTGGGTTTCTCTGTTGCTGTTACTTCATGAGGTGTTATGTGGTGCTGATTATATTTCATGATAAAATTATCATATGATGCAGTCAAGACAAACTGCTGGTGCTCAGTGTGTAAACAGAAAACAATAATGATCAGTTTCAGTTCTGATCTCAGATAAAGTTCAGGTCGAAGTCTGGTTTTCAGGGTTCTGCCTTCATAAAATACTGATTTTATGCTGTTTAAGTAATGCCAAGAATTTAGTAAAATGTTCTTTAAATTGCTGGAAAATACAGAATTTGAGTAGGTCTTTTAATAATTTTCAGGGGGAGTATAACCCTGGGAGAGTTTTCTGTCTGAAACTCTCCTCACATTCGGAGCTGTCCACTTCAGACTCAGCTGAGGGCCAAAGATTCTTTGGTTCATCATCGTCACAGAACTCTGCGAACTCAAAAAACAGATGTGTTGAATTTAAGTAAATGTGAAAATTGCTTTACATTTGCTGAACTCAGTTGAGTGGAACCAGTTGAAATAACTTGGTTAAGTAAATCCAYCACATCTGGTTTTTAGTGCAAAGTTAAAGTTTCTTCTGATGAGAAATACTTTCCAGTACAACATCAGTGTTCAAATGTAATAACTTAAACACCAAACAGTTAAATTTAACGCAACTTGGCTTTAATTACAAAAACAAAATAACAAATGGGTTCATTTTTCTCTTTCACACTCGTTTTCAGATTTTACTAAAGATTTCTTTCTTTTTACAGAGAAAAAACAATGTGTCTTGGTGTTTACATCTTCTTTTTTATGTTTTTTTGAATAAACTTGGCAGAATTAAAAAAATGTGTAGCCTACTTGTGATTCCTTTTTAGAGAACTCAGAGCAAATGATACTGTTAAAAGAGGAGTTCAAAAATTATATGTTTCAGATTGAATTTTTCTGAAATTTGCATATAAAATAGCTGTGAATCAGGTGAGGTGAATATGCTTCAGCCTTTTTTTAGATTGTACACACTTCATCAAGTGGTGCATACTCTTCGTGTTTTAAAAAAAAGATTTAGTGCAGAAACATTTTCTTTTTTTCACAAATTTCTTATAATAAACAAGAAAAAGTGTTTTTTCTGAAAATGAACAAAATATCTGTTAAAAGCTACAAGTTTGAACAYATTGATTTTAGATTTCTTCTGTTACAGCTGATAAAGGCAAACGGATTTATGTGAGGCCCCTCAAAGTCTGCAGCCCCCTCCTATTTTGGCCCCTGCTGCCGAAACAATAAATAATTGACTTTGGAAAAAAAAAAACGCCTCTAACCTCGTGGATGAGCAAGACTCACAAATTGATGTGTTGAACTTTTCACAAGCTTTAAATAGCTGCRAGTGAAAGTGTAAACGACCYAGCGGTGAGTGGCGACGGGACAARGGGCCCCCGGCAGTGACACGGCCTCTGCAGACATAATGACCTGTTGGAAACATCAGGAAGTTCGAGGGTTGAGATGTTTATATGTTTCCACTTTATTTCAGCTGTTTTTTTCATGTTTCAGTCAAACAGTTTCAGTCAAACATTTGTAACAATCTCCAACATGGGCTTTTTAATTTCTAAACTAGATAACAGATGAACAGTTTTAATTTGTGAAAACGAGAAAGCTGAATTATTAAAAGTCACATTTTTGCATTTGCTCCTGGAACGTCTGTGTCTATAAAATATAGTTCTATAAATGTCTTCTTTTCATGGCCTAAAACTCCTGCAGACGCTCTGTATGACATTGCCTCCCGCAGCATTGTCCCAGGAGGCCACCATGTCAAATTTCTAAGCAAAATATGGTCTCTCTGCAGGCTTTTGAGACACACAATTCTCATCTCTGGGAAATCCAGCTGGCTCTCATGGGGATAGAGCTTCGGAGGGCTCGGAGCCCGGAGCTMCTGCATGCTGCAGCGGCAGGAGTCCACTCGGACTTGGGGGTAATTGGTTTATCCCACCGCCTGGTCTGCTTTCCCATGTGGGCCACTGCTGCGGGGAGGCCCAGGGGTACAATATGGAAACAGCATGACACCCTCCAGTGCTGAGCAGGCATTGAGGGACGGAGCAGAGACGTCTCTCAGCTTTCAAAAGGACTGCCTTTTGGACTCCTTTTAAAAATGGGCTGCATTAGTGGGTGGAAGTGAGAAGTAATTCAATTTTGACTGAAGCTAGAAAAAAAGTACAAAAAAGACAAGAAATCTTCAACTGAAAGGGAACTGAGTTTGAAAGATTTTCCACATGTCCATTCATCATRCATGCACATGTTTTAATTGTTCTTTGTTACAGAGTCTTGTGAACCAAAATCAAAATTATATTCACAGCAGAATTTGGAAAAAACATCAAACGTTTAAAGAAACCAGAGGTGGGGGACTCGAGTCACGTGACTTGGACTTGAGTCAGACTCGAGTCAATGATTTTAAGAATTTAGACTTGACTTTGAAACCAATAACTTGAGACTTGAATTGGACTTGAACCTGTTTACTTGAAAAGACTTGATATTTTATCCCAAATCTAAAGTTTAAAACATATTTACAGCGGGTAAAATAAGTATTGAAAACGTCACCATTTTTCTCAGTAAATATATTAATAGAGGTGCTAATGACATGAAATTTTCTCCATACAGGAGGCGTCTTGAAGCTGTCATTGACAACAAAGG